TCCTTTTTTCTCCTCTTTCTCTTTCCCTTACTCCCCTCCCTTCCTCCCTTCCTTCCTTCCTTTCTTCCTCTTTCCCTTATCTCCCTTTGTTTCTGAGGCAGAGACCTAGTAAACCCAGCTATGAAATAGCTGGTTATTATTAAATAATATGATCCCATCCCAGGGCAACCAAATCACATTATTCCCGTCTCTCCCCAACTGCTCTAACAGAAGTAAAAACTATTCCACAATATTTGAGAATAAACTATCAACAAGCAGCATCCCACAACGACTTTCACATAATTATATAAATGATACAATTTTATATCATTAAATTCAAGTGTGAATACAGCCACTATGTTTTCCCCAAAACGGTATTTTCAAAAGGTATCACTGTTTTTGCATGCTCTAGTATAAACTACGGAACTATAAAAGTGGGTCAAATAATAATAGTAATAAATGCCATATCTCCATAAGTCAAGATTAACTCCTAAACTCAAAAAAAAGAATATAAGCATAATTTAGTGTTATGCTACATTTCACTCCACACATGCTACTAAACATGTAAGAAATACCTATTTTCTGAAGGAAGTCTAGGAACTCAGTTAAGACTGCCACCTATCACAAACTTGTTTGAAAAGTCAGTGCCACCCGATCCTAGCTCTTCTAAGATTCCAAGTAAAATCTCATTATTATTATTATTATACGATATGGTTTCAATCACTACTCATACAACTTATGAGTTCATTCTATGATACTAACATTAATTTGCACAGTGACTAATTTAAAACAGAAAGACATGGGTTTTAGTAGATCACTATCTTTAGTGAATTCCAAGTAGCTGTTCTAACTAGGCAACCACCAGAGTTATTTAATCAAAACTACAGAAAATTTTATCACAGTTCCTTCAAAAGAATGAATCCTATTGTAGTTTCGGTATACCAAACACCTATGTATCTCAGAGCATGTTTCTGCATTTTGATAGTTTATACTCTAATGGTTGTGTACAATAATATTTTGAAAATGGTAATTTAAGTGCATTATTTTTAGCATTTAAAACTGTTTTAAATGAATGTGTTACACAGGACAAACACCAATCCAATGTTAAGAATCTATCATTACAGAGAATAAAATAAAGATACATACTTCTTACCAAGTTTTTTTCCCTCCTGAAAGTAAAGAGTAATGCCATTGTGGGAACTTTACATGCACTAGAAAGCAGTTACAGCTTTCTTTAGAAATCATACATACTATGAATATATTAGAATGCTAATCTACATTAATCTTATATTCTGCACTCTTAATCTTTTATTTGATTGGGACTACATCTATCACAGTGCAATATGAACCAAAGCCCAAGAAAATCTTAACGTGGTCTTTCAGAAGAGAATTAAAAGCTGATAAAACCAAAGCTGACCAGGTACAAATAAGAAACAAATGCAAATATCACAGTGGGGACGATAACATTCACTATCTCTCCACATTTCCATTAAGGAATTACCTCCACATGCATTATCTTTCATTGTCAGGATTACACCTACTATCTTATGAAATAAAGTTATAACATGTGCACAAGAGGTCCATCCATAATTCTAAGAAATATCTGAAAAACTGAACTAGAATGTTGATACAAACAGAAAAGGAAATAACCTAGATGGATCACGATTACTATTAATGACTCAAAAGGCCATAAAATCCTTTGATGAGCAAGAAAATACGCCTTGAGGCATACTGCACTTTGGGAAAATGGGCTGTTTTTGTTGAATACATGTGAAAGAACTGTTTCCTCATGTTTTATATAATTCTTAGAAAAAGTTCATATTAGGTCCCCAATAGGATGTTTTAATTATGAGAAGCAATCTTTTGAAACTCATACAAGCCATCACACTTGTTTGGAAACAAATGACTTTTCAAGATGGAGAAGTATTGCTATCAATCACCAACAAGTTAATTCTACATAATAAGGCAGGTTTGGACGCAAACTGATCCACTGTGGAACGCTGTATCTAAAATTGATTACAACAGCACTCAAAATGAATGCGGCCCTCCAAACCACTTCTTTGCACAGAAACATTAATCTCAATTAGAAGGAGAGCTTCATAACGGTAATGTTTGGTATAAAAAAGAATAAAATAAATCAGGTTTTATAAGACACAACAATTAATCAATTTTCAGAGTAAAGAGGTATTTTTTTTTTTTTTTTTTTTTTTTTTTAGCACAAAATTTCCAGCAGGTCTGTGAAAACAGCTGATATCTCCAAAAATGAGTTTTTAAATGTCTTCTAAAAGAAGCGTACAGAAAATAATTTTTAAGACTTAGCTGTTGAAACTTTTAAATAACGTATTATTGTGTTATCTTTCAACAGACTTTTTTACTCCAAATTCGATTTTTCTACAGGCTACCATTTCACTTTATAAGGCAACTATGAACACAACACTGACTTCGACTGAAAATTCAAAAGAACATATAATTGGTTATGGACCAGAGTAAAAGTTTGGTGGCAAATTATTGTATTCTTTGCTCATACTCTCAACCTAAGTCAAGAAAACGTGTCCTCAAAGTCAAAATGGACATTCGACTATCAAACGAAGCACTCGGTAGATAAGCAATGTGTAATTCAACAAGCTTAACAGGTTTCCACAGCACAGCTTCAAGAAAAGGGCAGACAATTCATTACAGCTGCTGCTGAATACAATGACTCAAATAAATATAAAACTTGGATGATACTCAACCACTATCCAGAAATCAAAATTTTAAAGGGTAAAATAAAGTTTAATAAAAAGGAGGCACATGCATTTATTTAAATAATCAATATTAAGAAACTAATCAACTTGGCTTTGTTGGGCTTTTATATCAGACTATGACCATGCTCCGAACTTATTCCCTAGTATCCCTACAGGTAGGATAAACTTCAGCATTTACAAACATACATTCATAGCTATTGCAAAAATATCATTTTTGTGCATCCAGAGTAATAGTGATTCAGTATTTCTGACAGGTCATTCTACTCACAATGATAGCCATGCACTTCTTCCTGCTTTCTTATTTGCTTGACTCTTTACAAAGAGAATAATTACTCCTGGCTCTCAGGAGCAAAGCTAAGAAAGAGTAGCTTGAACTTACTAACTGGATCATTATTGTTTAGCTAGGTTTCCCTTCTGAATAAGTTTAAAACTTTTCACTCTTTAGGAGCTTTCTTCTTTTCAGAGATAAGCATCCTTATCTTTCTTTGTCTTCCCCCTAATGAAGCAGGTTCCCTTTCCTAACCAGAAGACTGAGGACACGCCTATAGAATCATAGTAAGAAAAGCCTCAATAATTTACCTAAAACATGTCTTTCTAGAAAATAAACACAACCATGCAAAATAATTGCATTTGGAGGAATAACCAGTAACAATTCTATAAACCTATCAGCTTTATTTCCAATAATCAAGTAATCCCCATTAGGATGGCCTAGGTTGCTAACTTAAAGCTATTGGCATAGGAGATTCATACAGTCTTACAAATACATAAACACTAACATGGTGATTAATATAACTACATTTTTCATAAAAACTGCACAATGCATATAAAATATGTATTTGATCTGAACTACTTTTTCTAAATATATATTCTTTTTTAAGTTATTTAACACAAGATATATTTGTTTACTATTAGAAAAAATATTTGATTAAGAGGAATAATAAAATTCATGTAAGAAAAAAGAAGAGCAAGATTGTTAAGGGCAATGCAACAGGAAGAGATACAGACAATCCTGAAATACACAATAGAATAACTAAACTCATTATAAACTCCTATCTTCGAAAATTTAGGAATAATTTGTGAATGCCATGACATTCTAAGGTGGGATCAGCAAGTCTTATTACTGAACTAACCTCTCACTCTTAGATCAAGAATTAAATATTTGCTTTGCATTTAGAATTATAAATCAAAACTTTTAGGAATCACACAAGAATTTTACATACATGCTCGAAGTTTTAGATAATTAAAAGTGCATTAAGAAATGCACAAAGCAAGATTGTTGAATTCATAAAATCTTGTTTTTTAATTGAAATATTAAAATAACGATGTATTATTACATAGTTGCTGTTAATTCTAAAGTCTGTTCCCAATACATTAATACCATAAAGACTACAAATACTTCTCCAAGTAGGCAATGGGGACAAAGGGATATGCATCATATTTTAACCACATTCACGAAGGGAATCAGATCACCAAGTTCTGTTCAGTCGCAATACCACCTTTTGGGATACTCTTCCAAGCTTTCCAGAGATGCCATAGCCCCCTTTTTTCTTTTGCCAAGAGAAGGGAAAGGTAATGCCTCTACGTATTTCTATTTCTAGTGAAAAGACCACCCAGGGGATTCTGCTAGAGTCTACAAATGTTTGACAAAATACATTGTCAGAAGATAAGAAACAGAGCATGATGAAGAGACAGTCCTGTTCTCAGGCATCCCAGCCGGCTAGGGCCCTGCAAAAAGCCTAGGACAGCTCCCAGTCTTTGATTTCCATTGCACCCGGAAACTTTTTTCTACCTCCAAATTACAATGACTTCGGAAAACACATGTATGTGACGTTATTACACGGTACAAGTACTTGTTACCCTCTCTCCACAATAAAAATTAACAAGTTACCACTCCAGCTACCTTCAAGGTGAGGCAGTAAGAAGGGAATCCAAACTGCATAGTAAGATGCTCAGCAGACATAACCCGCCTCAACCTAAAATATGTGAAGCTCTTTGTAATCGGTTGTAAAACACGAGACAGACTTAGAATCTCAGTTGTAGGCTCATAAATTCGTAATTTTCGAAACGCCCAGCTCAGGATATTTTGTGTTTCCAGCCCCATCCAGAGTTTCCCGATCAAGTTTCAGCCGTGATCCACCACTCCCCACGCTGCCCCTCGCCCCTCACTCTCCCTCCTTCACTCCTCTCCAACTTGGCTCCCCGGCCGCCGCAGACGCCTCCTCTCCTCGGCCTGCCCCGGAAAGAGGTGACACCCCGGGGCTTTCCGCTCGCTCGAAGCCCCCCAGGAGCCTGTCAAGACACCCCGCAGACGACGCGGGGCCCCGCTACACAGCGGGGGCCGAAGAGGGCCAGGCGGGCTCCCCTCCCCGCCCCCACAGGGCGCGCAGCCTCCGGGCCGCCTTCCTCGGGGACCCAGGGGCTCCCCGGAACGGGGGCGCGGCGCCTGGGTCCCCGGGCGAGAGGCGCCGGCGAAGTTCCCACCTGAGCCGGCGGCCGGAGGTGGCGGGCGCGAGGGCGGGGCGGGGACCGGGAGGCCGGACCGCGGAGAGAGCCCGCGCGCCGGGGAGATGCCCCGGCGCCGCCGCCTCACGGGGCCACTCGCAGCCACGCTCCGTCCCGGCTCCCGCCCGCCCGCTCCCGGCGCCGCGGCCCGGCACTAGGACCCCAGAAAGGAAGGAGGGCGCGCCGGCGGCGGCGCCGCACTTACCGCGCTCGGCTCGCCCGCGCTGCCGGCTCGCTCCCCGGCCGCAGCCGCCGCGTCCGCCCGAGCCGCGCGCTCACCGCGCCGGGCCAAATTCAAAGGAGCCGGGCGCGGGGGAGGGGGCCCGCCGAGGGAGCCGGGAGCGGGCGCCGGCGGGGCGGGGGCGGGGAGGGGGCGCGAGTGTTACAACTTCCTTCCCTGCCCGCCCCCGGCCGCGCGGCCCCGGGACGCGGGAGGGGAGGGCGCCGGCGCGCCAATGAGTTCACTTTCTTTCTCTCCCCCGCTCTCCCCCCTCTCCGCGCCCGCCGGCCCCTCCAGCCTCCTCCGAGGCGGCGGACCAGGCCGGGCCGGAGTTTTTGGGGCTCGGCCCGCGAGCGGGAGGACGGGGGAGGCGAGGGAGGAGGAAGAAGGCGAGCCGGGCCGGGTGAGGAGGCCCGCGGGGCGCCGGGCCGGGGAGCGGCATCCAGGACGGTAACTGCGCGGCGGGCGGGGGACGCGCCGGGCCGAGTGTGCCCGAGCCCGGCGCGTACACGTGTCCGTGTGTGTGTGCGGGAGTGTGCGAGGGAGAGAGGCGAGGCGAGGCGAGGAGAGGAGCCTACCATGCGCTTCCCCCGGTGCGGATCGCGGGAGAGCCCAATCGCGGGGCGAGCTGGACCTGGCTGTGATCATTTATAATCCTTGACTCCTCCGCTCCGCCACTTGTCAAGATGACAGGTACTTTATTTCTTCTTTTTTGTTCAAAAAAAGAGATTCCCCGTTTACTGCCTTTTTCTGTCAAATGGGATTTGCCGGACTGAACCACGTTCGCCGCCCCTCCCTCCTTCCCTCCTCCCGGCCGCGTCTGGTTCGGGAAAGCACCGAGTCTCCCATGCTGTGACCAATCAGTGCCTCCACTACTCTCGCCGCGATTTAGGGGTCATCCGTGAATAACACTTCACGCTGATGAATGGCTCTTGCCGGCTTTCGGCTCTGATGAGGGGTCTGCCCGCCGCTGATTGCAAACACTAATGAACTTACTGCGCCAGTTGAAATTCACACACACCAACAAAGTGCAGGGGTACGTGCGTGGGGGTCTGTCCTTTGCTGCTGCCGGTGGAGGGGAGGCGGAGGCCCTGGGGGAGGGGGCGGGTAATTGCTTCGGACTTAAGTGGAAACACTTCTCTGTGTAATCAAACCTCTAACCTTCTTAGAAAACTACTTTTCTTGATCTTCCGTAGGGTGGGCATTTCAGGTCAGCTGAGTCACCCGAGGAGGTGGGAGTGCAAGACACTGCTGGGAAGACGGATTCGAAGGCAGAAGGGTGTAATTAAGGATTTCCACCCCCGGTAGGCGGCCCATCCTTTGCAGAGCCTCTGAAAATGACCCGCGCCTTCCCTTCCATAGTGTCCTCTCGTCCGAGACCGAAAAGCGCAAATGACCTTCGGACAGGGAAAGGAGGCAGTAAACACTCAGACTTCCTTACCAGCCCCAGCTCGGCACTGTCGCGGAACAACTGTCTGACCCCCGGTTCAAGCACCTAGACCTCCCCACGGCAGCACTTGGCCAGGGGCGGACGCTGTATCCCCCCCGAAGGCTCCGCTCCCCACATTTACTACTCTCCCTTCCTCTCCATTCTCCCCTCCGAATAGCAGGCAAACACTTGTCCCTGCGTCGGTTTTGTTGGCTATGGGAGGAAAAAAGTTTGCTGCTCTTCCCAAGACACTGTCACTTTCTACTCACTGAAGTTCCCACCGCAGCGCGGGCTCCTGGCTCCCCAACCCCCGCCCCTTGGCTGCAAAAGGGCCCTGCCCCGGAGCTTCAGAAACTGCTGGAAGTTCCAGAGTTTTGTAGCCCCGAACGGGCGACCCAAGCCCTGAGCCTAACCGCTCTCTGGGTCCGCGGTCCGCAGGATCCTTCAGGCACCTTTCAGATCCGGGATGAGGTGGCTGCTGGGGTGGGGCGTGCGCGTTTGGGGCGGCCGGCTCACCGAGTGCGTGAAGCTCCCCGTGGGTGCCCGAGGGTCTTCCCGCCCTCCCCTGGGACTCGCCGCCCACCCGTGGAGGGCTGGGAGCTCACGACCAGGCCTGCCCGGGCCACCGCCACCGCCGCCGCCGATGTGTCCTCGGAAGCCTGGCGGAGACTGGTGCGCTACTAGCATCCTCGCGCCACCCATCACTTTCAGCTTCAGAGCGGATTCCGCTGACCTGTACCTAATTTGACTCGGCCGTTAGGAAATCCACTTGCCTTTGTAACTGCCGTGCAGAATCAGAAACAGATCGATCACTGGGAGAACAAGGATGATGCTTCCTAGGAAAGCCTGAGCCTTTATGATAGTTTCTCCAAAGTTTAGGGTAGAGGTGACTAGGAGAATCCCTGAACTCGAACTAGTGTGCCCAGACCCACAACCCGAGTTCTCGAAGTTGCTAAGTGCTCGAGCGCAGAGCAGGGATTAGGGAAGTCTTGGTAGTAAGCGAACCCGACCTGGCTCTCAGGGCGCTGCTGACGGAAAGCAGAACCCGACCTGGCTCTCAGGGCGCTGCTGACGGAAAGCAGGACGAGCACATCTTTGCAGAACAATCTAGAGTCGCCCTGGGGTAGATCCATCTCCTTCTGCCACTGAATTTCACACTTGAAAAAGATAAGATCGTGGGGGCAGATGAATGATATCCCCCCACTCATTCTAGCCATTCTCATTATTAAAAAAAAAAAAAAAACTTGTCCATTAGGAAAGTATGTCCCAGATATTACAAGACGATCATGCAAACTACTTGAAATTTGAATCCGGACATGATCGTAAGGAAACTCTTTCATAAAGCACTTCTGTGGCCCAGTTCCCTCTCTCTCTCTCTCTCTGTCTCTCTCTCTCTCTCTCTCTCTCACACACACACACACACACACACACACACACACAAAGTATTAGATCTTTAAAACTTTTATAAGTATCTAAGTTAGTGAGACAGCCTCTTACTATCTAGGAATACACAATAAAGAGACGAGACCCTGCCCCAATCTTAAAGAGGCCAGAACTGAAGAGCTACATTGTGGGAGTTAAAGGATGCTTCTTTACAGCTCTTTTTTTCTAGAATCCTCATTATAGCTAACGCTGGTAATAAAGGTAGGAAACAATAGAACTCATAAAACACAGAAATGGTAATAAATCTTGGCTCCTGTCTCCAACCCAGTTCCTTCTTACATGACATTCAAAGTTTTTCAGTATGCAATAGTGAACATTCACACTATGGTTGCAGTATAGAAAAAATACTCTAGAACTCATTAATACGGCCCTGCGCACACTATGCAGGCGTCGCTGGTGGACAAAGCGTGCAGGTGTCCTCCTCTACGTCTGCCTGCGTCTGTAATCCAGGCAGGTTATGTGTGTTAAATTTGGGTCTCTCTCTCTCTCTCTCTCTCTCCTCTCTCATACAAAGAAGTTCCATCATTTGAGGAAAAGCCGATGTTGTGCAGTGCCAAACTGTACCACAGGCTTCCTCCTTCAAATGAATCCCTGGAAAGCAGAGAGGCAGCTTGCTACGTGACCATCATGCTTTTTGCCTCACTGAGCTGTTGTCAAGAGAGGGCGGGGATGGCGGGCAGCTCACGCCGTGCCCTCCGCAGCAATAAAAACTGGAGCTGGAAAAGAAATGCAAGACATCGCTGTCTGTTTTGCAAGCCTCTGGCTGCCCTCTGCAAACTGCCCGGCGCGGCTGGTGACTTTGCGGTGTGAACGCAGCTGGTCGTGCCCGGGGTAGTGACCTAGCTGGCGGCATCGCCCTCCCGTGGGCCCTTCTTGTCACACAGATGCGCAGCCCTCCTGGGCCCCTCTTGTCACACAGATGCGCAGCCCTCCGAAAGGAAAATGTGGTCCAGCTCCCATCGCAGCACCTGGTCCTACTGCTAGGAACGAGTGCCTGCGGCCTTTGCAAACCTCTAAAAAGTGCTCGGGAGGAAGAGAATGGGCCGAACCTCCGGATTCCATTTGGGGAAGAGGAGCCAGGGCCACCAGCACCCTGCCCTGCCGCTCCGCCTCCAGGTGGGCCAAGTCTCAGCAGAGTGTCGCTGCCCACCTGAAGGTGACACCTGTCCATTTTAGTGAGCATCACAGGCGCCTTCCGTTTCTCCCCTTTGGGGGCTGTGCGTTTTCTCTTCCTGCCCTAAAGAGCCAGCTTGGACCTGAAGGGGCCGAGTAGCAGCTGTTTGTGCCTCTCTCCCGTGCGGACCGACGGTCTCCGCAGCCACTTCCTCCTTTGACACGGGAGGCTTACAGGCATGCAGAAAGCGAGCACCGGGTCAGGCAGGTATTAGGCTCTCCTAGGAGACTTGCGGACATCACTCGAGTTTACCTATTCCTTGGACTTGATTACATCCGCTCTAGCACACTGAGGCATGAGTGGCCTGCCTGCTGGGTTCAAACCCAGTGGCTGCCCTGGCTGCAACCTCTCCCACTCAAGAGACCCTAGGAACGATGAGGAACGGGGTAGAAATGACCAGGGGAGAGAAATCTCAGATACCTAGACCTTCCAGCTCACCCCTTGAAGACCAGGAAAGCCAGTAACCCACATATGCCCCAAAGGAGGTTATGTCTCAACTGAGAATAACAAAAAGGTGATGAGCGACTTCAAAATAGAGGCTGAAGGCTGGAGCCACCGAGCAAAACCCCAATTCGAGACACCTGAGGTGTTTCCCTTACACAAATGGCTTTGCAGGTAGCAAGTGATTGATCTGCAACAGTGAACAACACTAAAACTTACATTTTTCATGGAAGTCTCTCAGGTAGCCTTAAAGTTTTTATTGGGTGGAGTTTCCCCCTGCCCTCCCACCACTGGCAAAAAAATAACTTATCCCTTGGCTATTAGACTGAGGGAACTGTAAAACAAATATTTTTAATTGATCACTGACAAAGTCATAAAATTAAATGGCTGCAGTGGAAAATATGCTTTCATGATTTTAATTAAAGCAAGATAAGCCTCTCTCAATGTGTATGCATTTTGGAGCCACTGGGTGGACTGGTGATGAGACGAAGCAACCTTTAACTGGGACTGTGCTTCTCCAGTCCATTTGCTTGTATTCCGTGGTGTAAACCTGGCCTACGCGTAGCTCTGACCTTTGGTGGAAATGCATATGTGTAGCACCACCCAAGCGTTCCTTGCTTTGACTAGAGCTTCATAAAAGATCCCAGGTATCACAAAGGATTTTGAACACCAGTGTCTTTTAACATGTGGAACTCTCAGTTTTGGTTTAGCTCTGTGAATGTGTTTCAAACTTGCTGTATTATTCCACACTGAAAGTGGGAACCTTTCTAATTAAGAGTTATCATGGAGTACCTTTTAAAATCTGACATATTTTCCATAAACAAGTTTTCAGTGAGTAGTGTATTTAGTGTACTCAAAGTACGCATTAGCTGCTGGCAAGGTTTATGATAAAATAGTGACACTACAGGACGATTTTTTAGTAACACCCTTTAGATATTTTAGGGTACAGCTTATATGTTAACTTGTAAATGCAGGTTAAAAATATAGGTATCAAGTGACTATAAATCAGTATCAAATTGAACATCTTTTTATTTCCCAGAAGAACCCTGCTCTTTCTCCTCCCTTTGGTGACCCCTTTGTCTGGAATACTCTGTATCCTGGGACCGTGGAACAAATAGTGTTTAAAGCACTGATTAGTGGTATTCTCCTCCCTTAGCAGTGCTTCCACTGTGTTTTCTGCATGTAATAAAGGTTGGCACTGTTTTT